ATTCTCCTACTCCCTGACAGTCTTCTGGAACAGGATAGGGTGTCTGGTGGGCTCCTGATTTTTCAGTCTCAGATCAGGAGCCCCAAGTCCAGCTCCCTCAATGCTTTCCCTGGAGCATCACACATCCCTTTGCTGATGACTCTCCTGGAGAGGGGTAGCTTCCTGGGTGTGCAGAGCACTAGTCGTGGAGGTGTCCAGGGCCCTGGAGTCTTGTCTTACCTCCTCTGCTGTCTCACCTGGTGATGCTGGGCAAAAGACTTTCCTCCTCCCGTGGTAGGGAATGCGGCAAGGTTAGGTGGCTAAGAGCTCTATTCTTACCCAAAGGTCTTTAACCTCTCCTAGAAGCCTTGGCTCTGGTCCTTGCTTTCATTCCATTTCCCCCCCAGCCTAAACGTCTTTATCTGGGCCTAGGGTCTTTTGTCATCAGTGTGGATTATGAGTAGTTTGTGTTTTGGGGCTAGAAACTTATTCGTTTTCCTCTGAACCCTGTTTTTCCTTCCTCTGTTCTCTAAAATAAACACCCCTCCTTTGGCATTCCCTCTGGAAACTTTGACCTCTAATGTCGACCATAATGGTTTGCTTTTTCTTTGAGTACCCCCTGGAGAACTAGGATTCTGCCCTCCCAAGTCAGCGGGAGCCAGGCTCTCTGCTTTATCATTCTAAGGAAGGCCTTTGCAAGTCAAAAGTTAGGTTTCTTCATTCTGGAGAAGAGCTGAGAAACGTGACTCTCTTACTAGAGGAAGAGGGAGGAGAGGACACCTTTCACTGCATATGAATGGTAGTTATTTGACAAAACTGTCATGATGGTTAAGAATGTTGCCAGAGATGCCTGGGGTCCCAGAGTGTAAGTGGTGTAAAAGAAAGAGTATGACCCAGTGCAGTGGCTCACGCCTGTAATCCCAGCACTTTGGAGTTCAAGACAAACCTAGGCAACATAGCAAGACTTCGTCTCTACAAAAAGTCAAAAAAATCAGTCGGGCATGATAGCACATGCCTGCAGATCCAGCTACTCTGTAGGCTGAGGCAGAAGGATCACCTGAGCCCAGGAGGTCGAGGCTATGGTGAGCCACGATCTTTGCCACTGCACTCCAGCCTGGGCGACAGAGTGAGACCTCGACTCAAAAAAAGAAAAGAAGGAAGGGAACGAGGAAGGAAGAGGGAGAGAGAGACGGCCAGACAGACACATTGAGTATGGATTTATGAGGTGCCAGGACTGAATTCAAATCCACTTTCCTGTGTTTAATTTTAGGTTGGGGTGCCTAACCTTTCTGATCCAGTTTCCTCAGTAGTAAGAGAGGAATAATTGTAACCCCTTAACTGGATTATTCTGAGGATTGAAAGATATAATATCTATTAAACGCTGGACACTTAGTAGGTGCTCAATAACTTCCTTTCTACTCTAGTTCCCCTATCCCTTTAGGCCCTCACCAGCAAGCCCGCATACACTGGCAGGGGCCCATAGGAGACTCTGGGAATATTCTCAGGGTTTTCTTTTTTTTTTGAGTTGGAGTCTCACTCTGTCGCCCAGACTGGAGTGCAGTGGCCGCTCCCGGCCACCGCAGCCTTGACCTGCTGGGCTCCGGCGATCCTTCCGCCTCAGCCTTCCGAGTAGCCGGAATTGCAGGCATGCGCTACCACGCCCGGCTGATTTTTTGATTTATTGTAGAGATGAGGTCTCGCTGCCCAGGCGGGTCTCGAACCCGCGGGCTCAGGCAATCCACTCACCTCAGCCTCCCAAAGGCGCGGGATTACAGGCTGAGCCACCGAGCCCGGCTTTCTTTTTTTCTTTTTCTTTTTTTGAGTTGGAGTCTCATTCTGTTGCCCAGGCTGGAGTGCAGTGGCACACTCACGGCCACCCCAGCGTCGACCTGCTGGACTCCAGCGATCCTTCCGCTTCAGCCTTCCAAGTACCAGGAAGTACAGGCTAAGGGTTTTCTTAAGAGTCCTTAATTCTGCCCACATCGAAGTTCAGATGGGAGGAAGAGAAGAAGGTGAAGGAGAAAAAGCTTTGTAGGGGGCTGGCTAGCCTAAGTATGTTTTCTTTTGTAAATTTAGACTGAGAAAATACAGAATTCTATTCCCCAGGTGAAGTGACCCAGTGTCTGGATTTACTGAAGTATGGGAAAAGGCTCATGGGCAGGTTTTGCTCATCGAGTTGATCCCCTCTTCAGCAGGTTCGCAAGATCCACCATCAGATTGTAGCCAATCTGCCTGTTTTGGCCCTGAATCTATGGAACACGGGGGTTTTACTGTTCTGTCACCTTAATGATAGCTAGCTTGTTGAGAATGAACCAAAAGGGAAGGGGTGCGGGGTTGTAACTAATGAATCCGAATGAGGCTGTATTGCCTTGGAAGGAATCATTGACAGGAAAGTGATGGATGAAGAGAAATCCAAATTCCTTGAGTTTCTGGCCCAGGGTCCATGTGGGAAGATTGGTGGTGTGATGGATTGCTCTGAAGGTAAGATGGATGAGAAAGGGAGAGGCTTAGAAGGAGAAGAGACCAGGAGACTGACTATGAGCTTTTGGAGAAGTAGGCCAATTTCTCATGGAATTCCTACTGCTTTAGGTTTTCTTAGTGAAAACTCCTGATATAATCCCATAGGAAACAGAAAGCTTGTTCTCCTGGAATGAGCTTTTGAACAGGGCAGCAGGGATGGTTTTGTTTCTGAAACCCCCCCAGGATTATTCAGGTATGTCAGCAAGGTCCTGGAGAAAATGTCAAAGCGTCGGGTGCCTGGGTTCTTGGATGGCGACTCATTAAGGAATGCAGTTTGTTCATTTCCCTGGATCTGTGTCACAAGTCAGGTTCCAGGAGGAGGATGCTGACATCTATATTTTGGCATCTATATTTATGGAGGGTTTAACCTCAGGGCCAGATAATTTTATGTGTTTGTCTTTTCTCTGAGCCCCAGGGAAATAATCTTTTTCTTTTGGTTCCCATTTATTCCTCACAATTTTTGTCCTTAGTGTCCCTTCCATTCTCCCTTCCTACAACACCACGCAGATGCACACCACATACACGGTTTTTCTGTCACTACTGTATTGCCGAGTGTTTTTAAAAACCTTCCTTGGAAGGAGGGACAGAAAACAAATCTTCCAGTTCCTTGACATAGCATGCACTTTTATCAACTTGTCGATGATCTCTGCATCTGTGGTAGTTTTAAATGCACGAGAATGAATAGAAACCAGTATGGATTTTCAAGGCACTTGCTTATGGCTTTTATTAAGGTGCCAACTTCCTTATTGAATATTTTACCCTCCTTTTCATTTAAAAAAAGGATTTGTTATTTCTTTTTGATGCTTAAAAAATAACACATTCTTTCTGATAGCAAAAATATTTTGTTTATTGTCGTCAAATATAAAAATACAAAAAAACCAAAAGAAAGCAAATCACTCTATTTTGATATTACATGGTGGCAAATGTTTGTATATTTTTACAAACAGTATTGGATTCATCCTGAACATGCTGTTTTGTAATCAACTTTGCTTAATTATACTATACGTATTTTCCATGTTACCATTTCTCAAGAATATTATTTTAGTTGTTTCTCTTCCACCATAGGGCCATGATTTTGTAGGGCCATGATTTACTTGTTTATCCTACTGTTGTTAAATTACTTTCTAATTTTAAACAATAAGCTGGGGTGTTTCCCTATTCTTGGTGATCATTTTACTTGTTCATTCAACATATCTAAAATACCTCTTCCCTGCAGGGTGCAAGGCCCGTGCAGACAGGAAAGACTCCCAAGGCTGAGATACTCAGATTTAGGAGACCAGTGGCTGAGCCCCCAGGGCTCTTTTTATGGGAAACTATCCCTTCTCCAAAGATTACCCTTGGAAGATGCAGAAGTGCAAATGGAGCCAGGGAGAATCCACAACTTTCCTAGTCTCTTGCCCTGGGGCCCAGGTCTTGGTGTACAAACACCCCAGGAAGTCCAAGTTAAGCAGGCAAACACACTTTGAAAATGGTGCAAGTTCAAAGGGCTTCCTTAGTCTCCAAGTTGCTTAGGTTACATTAAAATAACACCCTCTAAATCTAGAAGTCTGTATTGTTTTCCTATTGGCCAGTGTCTGGGTTTCAATTTTACAGTCAAACATCGAAATCAAGGGAGTTGGATATTTCTAGTCTCCCCTTCAGCCTGGCGGACTATTGGGATACCGAAGTAGGGTTTCTCATTCTATTCCTGATCCTAAGGTTTCCAATCAGAGAATGAAAGGTCCCAACTGGATACATTCTAGACCCATTCATCGCAAAATAAAACTGAGTTCCCAATCTGGGAAAATAGCAAAAAAACAGTCGCTCAACTGCTCACTGAGAGAAAATCCCTCTTGTGAGACCTCACCGAGGTAGGTCCACTTAACTGCCATGATTCCCTTTCCAGGGCTCCGGAGCTGGAAATGTCTTCAGGTTATGTTGGGGCCTGGTTTCCCAGGGTTGGGTGGGGAGAAATTTTCAAAAGTGCATACTCAGGTGAAAAACGAACACTCTACCCGGCACAAATGGGCAGACATGTGGTCTTTGCCTCGTTTATCTGCATGGATGTGTAGTTGGTCTTTCTGGAGCCAGCCAGAGTGGGGAAGGTAGCTCCTCCGGGAACCCTTCCATTTTCTGCTTCCATTCTCTCTGGCTCTCAGCAGCGCAGCTGGACTGAACATGGTCTGACACTTAAAGGCACAAGTCCTTTGAGGGTCTCTCTAGATATGGATCCCAAAGCAAACTCTCCCTTCAGCAAGCTGCTGAGTACCGGGCCCAAAACCCAGCAGGGGACTTGCAGGAAAGAGGAAAAGGTCCGCGCCCGTCAGGAGGCCCAGGCTCCAGTTTCAGCTCCGCGGAGCATCAGCTGCGTGATCTCGGCCTCCGTCCTCCCATCAGCAGCGGACCCCACGAGGACTCCAGAGCTGCCCTGCGGCTTTCCAAGCCTCGGGCTCCAAGAGAGGAAGCGCGTCGCCCCCCAGCGACATGCGACCGACGCGAGGAGTGTGCGTGGCGTGGCGTCATCAGGCGCTGCCTGGGGAGCGTGCGCAGTAGAACCTGTTCACCACCTGCCGGCACTGGTCACACTTGACCGTGCAGCACCACTGGAACTTGCAGTTGCAGCTGCTCGTGGCCTCGGCTCGCCTCTCCTCCACCTGCAGCCCACACTCGGTGCACAGGCGCCCGCAGCTACGCCGCTCCCACCTCGACGCGTTGCGGCTGCCCCGCAGGCACTCGCGACCCTCCGTGCCGTGGACGCCCAGGCTGGAGTTGCGGGCGCAGTAATCTGGCGATTCCTCCAAAAAGACCAGTTCGGCCTCCGCGCTGGGAAGGAAGGCCTCCGTGGGCGTCCAGCGGCCCTCGGCGCTGTTCCCAGCTCGTAGCCGCCGCTTATCCATCTCGATCTTCAGCGCCCGGTCATACTTGGCCTTGAGGTAGTCTCCCATCTCCCGGAAGTCAGCCAGCTGCAGCCAGCACGTCTGGATGCTGCAGCTCCCCGAGATGCCGTGACACTTGCAAGTCCTCCTCATGGTGGCTCTCACTGCCTTCACAGAGAGAGAACACGAGAGGGAGAATGGCTCTGGGTAGGGGAGCCCAAAGGCTAGCGATTAAATGCAATACTTTTTTTTGTTGAGTTGGAGTCTCACTGTCGCCCAGGCTGTGGTGCACCGGCAGGCTCACGGCCTCGATCTGCTGGGCTCAGGCAAGCCTTCCACCTCAGCCTTCCAAGGAGGTGGAACTACAGGCGCGAGCTACCATGCCCGGCTAATTTTTTGATTTATTGTAGAGACGAAGTCTCACCAAGTTGCCCAGGCTGGTCTCGAACCCCTGGGCTCAGGCAGTCCTCTCACGTTGGCCTCCCAAAGTGCTGGGATTACAGGCTTGAGCCACTGCGCCCGGCCAAATGGAATATTTTAGAGCTGCGTTTCTTGACTTGGAAGGAGCATCAGAATCACTGGGGAAGCTCACTAGAAATATTTATTACTGAACCCTAACTCAGATCTTCCCAGTGAGAATGTTCAGGGGGGTTAAGGGCCTAGTACTGGGGTGGGGGGGATGTTTAAAGCTTCCCCAGGTGATTCTGATTAAAAAAAACAAACAAACAGGCAAGTGTGGAGAAGACTACCGGAATCTGGAATCCTCGGCTCCAGGCCCAACCCCTTAACTTGGTGAGCTTGTTTCTCTATCTGCCCAGTTGGAATATAACTGAATAAAGTAATGGTAAAGGAAGAATTTTGTAAATTATAAAGAAAAATATGGTCGTTGCCACTGTTTTTGTCCTGAAGTTAGGGGCTAGAGTATTTTGCAGGGTTTGGATTTGTCTTCTAGGTCTTCTCCCAGGGGGAGGAAGCCCCTTGAGTCTGAACATTTACACCCCAAGGCAATTAATTGCTTTGGTTGTACTTGCCTAAAAACCTCTTCCCCTTACCCTGGGGGAACCAGAACATTTAGGTCCAGGTTCACAGGAAACTTTAATGCTGTTGGCCCTAAATCCAACCTGTTTCCAGACTTCGGTTCAGAATACTCCAGAGACTGCTACCCTACTAGAAGTTGTGGAAGAGAACAGACACTCCAGGGAAGCCCAGATCAGTCCCATTTCCTCACAGCCCAGACAGACTTTTGGACCCAAGGCAGGACAATAAGGCCTTGTTAATTTCCTAGGACACATAGTTGAAGTGATGAAAAGTTTAAGACATGAAAGCAAGGCCTTGATTCTGTATTGTTCTGTGTTCTCAGAACCTGCCTGTGGAGGGGACAGAACATAAGCTTTGTGGTAAGAGGACTAGACCAAAAGATCTGAGTTCATTGCCTGACTCTGTCCAAGGTTGTATTGCCTTGGACAAGCCACTTAACTGGCTTTGTCATCCAGAGAATGGGAGTGGCCATCCCAGCCATGCTGGGGGGTGTGAAGATAAAACGTGAGGATGAGACAGTTGTGAAGCTGTTGTCAGTACTGGCTGACTCCTATACCCACCAGCCTGCCAGCCCTGTTGTTGTGAAGATTCATCAGGGCTCTGGCGTCCTTCCCTTTCTCCAGACTGTCCACAAAGAGCTTGGAAATCCTTTCTCCAAATTCCACATTGTCGCTACAGCCTCCCCAGATCCAGCCATGGCCTCCTACACATAGGGAAAGAATGAGTTCTGTACATGACTCCGCGCCAAGTCCCAGGAGAAGAGTCACGGTCTTTTGGCTGTCACAGACAAACCATCCCCAAGAGCCCTAGAGGTGTAAAGCTATCACTAAAGGTGAGACAGGGAAATGGAGATGCTTCAGATGGGGGTAGACCTGTGCCCAAAGGGCCAACTGTCCACCCTTCAGGCACTTCCCAGCTCTAGGCCATTATTCTCCTATACTCATAGTACAAGCAGGCTCTGCTGGGGCTGGCCTAGAGGATCTCAAAGGTTCATTGCATTCAAACATTCTGGAAATCTGCGCCACTACTCTATAGTAGTCTTGTTAGAGCCACCTCCTCCCTCATTACTTCTGAGTAAATCTCTTAGAGGGTCTGCAAGTTGTTGAGTAGCTCTGGATCATAGAGGAGCCATTTCAGGCCTGAAATACCAGGGCTCGCTTTTAACTCTCTCCAGCCTTCTTCCTGGTCTCCTTGTTGTTTTTAGAGCTACTTGCTAATCCCTGGACTCATGGACCCAGGCTCAGCTCTTAGGAGAGCCTAAGTCCAGAAGATCCCACAACTGAGGTAGCTGCTGGGGGCTAGGAGTTTGGGGGAGCTATGTCCCTTAGCCTTTCCCTGGAAGGCTTGACCTGCACTCAGCCCTGCAGCCCCTCACTTCTTCCCTCCCCCATCAGAAAGCCCAACTTACCTGTTTTTCCATTTTTGGATTCATCACAGCCACAGTTTTCAAAGTCGCCCATACTACAGTTCTTGGTGATGGTGTACATGACTCCAGCAGAGCTGATCGCATGAATGAAGGAAGTCTCTCTGGTGGCTTTGGAGAGAAAGAGGGGACTGACTGGAAACTTTGATGACCCAAAGCAGAGGCTTTGGAAAAACAGTGCTGTTTCTCTCTCCTATTCCCCACCTCCTTTGGGTTTAAGAGTATGTGCTTGTTTGTATGCACATACACAGCCCACCTCAGGCACTGCTCAGTGTGATCTCTCAGCTTTTCTGTTGCTGGAATTTCATGACTGTTGGCATATGTGAAACTCCCTTAGGGGCTGCAAACACAGAGCCCTTTCCCCATTTTGATTTCATGCAAATCAGTGCAAGATAAGTGTATACAAACACACAAATGCAGGCATGCATTAAAAAATACAGTAGTTGGCCAGCTCGGTGGCTCAGCCTGTAATCCCAGAGCTTTGGAGGCCAAGGAGAGGATTGCCTGAACTTGGGGTTCGAGAGCAGCCTGGGCTACTTGGTGAGACCTCATCTCTACAATAAATAAAAAAATAAGCTGGGTGTGGTAGCACATGCCTATAGTTCCAGCTACTTGGAAGACTGAGGCAGAAGGAACGCCTAAACCTTGCAGGTTGAGGATGCGGTGGCCATGATAGTGTTACTGTACTCCAGCCTGGGTGACAGAGTGAGACTCCCACTCAAAAAAAAAAAAATACAGTAGTTTCTGGCAGGTGCAGTGGCTCACACCTGTAATACCAGCACTTTAGGAGACTAAGGCAGGAGGATTGCTTGAGCCCAGGAGTTTGAGACTAGCCTGGACAAAACTGTATAGCAAGACCTTGTCTCTACAACAACAACAACAAAAAAAAATTAGCTACTTGAGAGGCCCAGGTAGGAGGATCATCTGAGCCTAGGAGGTCGAGGCTGCTGTGAACAGTGATTGTGCCACTCCAGCCTGGGTGGCAGAGCTAGACCCTGACTCAAAAAAAAAGGTAATTTCTTACATTTGTATGGAGACACCTTGTATCCACCTCATCAACCTCACCAATGCTTCTGGTGAGCTAAACAGAGCTGGCCTTACCCAAATGACAAATCTAGGATTGAGAGGGCAAGTCATTCACTCAAGTCACACAGCATTTCACTGTGCACATACGTGTCGCACACATGCACACGGCAAGCCCACCTCCGCGCACGCACCCACCCCCCTGTGCAGGTGTGCTCCTGAGCAACCTTACCGCTTCTCAGCCTGTTGTGGGTGGAGAGCTGGAGGGCATTTTCAGGGCAGTTCCAGCGTTCCCAGGCAAACTGGAACTTGCACTCCTCGATGCCACTCTGGGCGCCCAAGGCCACGCTGGTAGTGTAGGTCAAGTAGGCCTGGCAAAGGGAGAAGGGGCATGAGCCTGTGCCCAGCGCAGGTTATCTGGGATGTGGGGACTCACACAGGCCAGCTCCCAGCTGAGAAACAGCCATGGGCTTCTCCCCTCCCCTCTTCTTCAGAATAGTCCCCGAGGGTCCCGAGCAGGTAAAAGCAGGAGCCGGAGACCATCCTACCTTGGGACCTGTTACCAGGAAATTGTTCACTGACCTACCAAAGAGAGAAAAAGTGAGACAGAAGTGAATGCAGGTGAGACAACGGGGGCTTCCTTGACGGGGAGTGATGGGTGGGGGAAAGGACTTACCAGCCAGAGGCACTGGATGCCCAGCAGCATATGCCCAGGGCTGCCCAGAGCATCAACGGGCCCCCCATTGCCCTGCCCACTCCTGGGGGTCCAGGTCCAGCTCAGGGCCAAGTCCAGAGAAGAAGTGAGGAGAGGGCAGGACCCTTCTCAGTTTTGATGTGAGAAAATTCTGAATGACCAAGGGGGAAAAGTCAACAGCTAGTCTCATTTGATCCTCACTGGCAGGGTTGCAGGAGCCACTGACCCAATGGGGGATCTGGGAGGAGGGACTCAAAGCCTTGGAGGAAAGCCCCGCCCTGCCCGGCCTGGCCAGCCCTTCTCCCCTCCCAGACTGAGAGAGGGGTTGAAACTTTTCTCCTACCCTGCAGTTTTCTTCCTCTGTAAGTCAGTTTTGTCTCTTCCTACTTCTCTGCCCATTTTTCTGAATCACGTAGACTGGAGCAGGTGAGGTCCTGAGCCCTGAAGGCAGGTCACTTATTCTTGGAGCTATAGTTCTCATCTGTCGGCGAGACCCCACTCTCTGCCCTACCCTCCTCCCCTGGTGTTCATCATAGAGGAACTCCATTTGAGGGCCCTTCCTACACATGTACCCAAACTAGTGGTGCACTGTCCCTACCTCCTCCCCTGATGGCTGTGGGGTGATGAAAACTGCAGGGCTATGGAGGAGAAACACGTTAGAGCCCACCTGTGCAACAGTCCCTTCCGCCAAGTTCTAGCCAAGCAAGTTCTAGTAAATTGCCTTTCTTCCTAGCAGGTCTGTCCTTTTGCATCTGAGGTTTAGAACTCCTCTTTGTTAATTTCTTATATACCTGAGAATCAACCCCTGAACCACATAGGCCTATATTTGAGAAGAACAATGTCTTTCTTTTCTTTTCTTTTCTTTCTTTCTTTTCTTTTCTTTTCTTTTCCTTTCTTTCTTTCTTTCTTTCTTTCTTTCTTTCTTTCTTTCTTTCTTTCTTTTCTTTTCTTTTCTGATTTGGAGTCTTACTCTGGAGTGTAGTGGCACAATCATGGCTCACTGCAGCCTTGACCTCCTGGGTTCAGAGGATCCTCCCACCTCAGCCTCCCAAACAGTATCCAGTCACTTCCCAGACTGGTCCTGGGTTGGATGGGAAGAAGTCCACGATCCCCCGTCAAAGGAATTCCAGGGGCCATTGGGTCCCCAGGCCTCTTAGAGGCAGTGCACTTGAAGTATGGGCCAGGATTGGTGTTAGTCTGCAAACTGATAGTTGTCTTTCTGTGACAAAAAAAAAATACAAAAATGAAAGTGTTTAGAAATTTTGATAGCAATTTGGTGGAGAAATTTGAGATATGTTGATCTAAATAGTAAGAAATCGGGTTTTTTTGTTTGTTTTTGTTTGAGGTCTCATTCTGTTACCCAGGCTGGAGTGCAGTGGGACAATTTCAGCTCACTGCAGCCTCAGCCTGCTGGGCCCAGTGATCCTTCCACCTCAGCCTCCTGAGTAGCTGGCACTACAGATGTATACCACCTCACCCAGCGATTAATTGTAGAGATTAATTGTAGAGATGAGGTCTTGCCATGTTGCCCAGACTAATCTTAAACTCCTGGGTTCAGGCAGTCATCTCGCTTCAGACTTCCAAAGTACTGGGATGACAGGCGTGAGCCACTGTGCCTGGCCTTGGGCTCCTATTTTGTATGTCTTTATTTCGTTTGTTTCCTTCTTGTAGAAGGAAGGATATGACAAGTCCTTAGTAGACTAAAGCTCTGCCTCCCAGTCCTAGGCAGCTCTCTTCTTCTGCTTGCTTGGGGGCTTTTCTGCTTGGAGAAAAAGAGTGTTCCAGACTTGAGTCACTTGGGAAAAGCTTTGTCTCTGTCTCTTACTTTTCCCAATCAAGAATCTAATGTTTAACTGCCACAGCAGAGCTGATTTCCATGGTACTCACTGTGGAGTCAGAACAGGGTTAATGACCCCAGATAGTTCCCTCAGCCCTTTGAAAGAGTTTTAGGAGTGACTCTACATCCACTTCCTGTTTTTGAATGCCTGGGTCTTATCTTCTGTGTCTCCCATAGCACCTGGCATTTAGTTGGTACTCTATAAAAAATATTCTATTTTCTTTTTTTTTTAGTTGGAGTCTCACTCTTGTTGCCCAGGCTGGAGTGCAGTGGCATGCTTGTGGCCACCACAGCCTTGACCTGCTGGGTTCAGGTGATCTTTCCACCTCAGCTTTCCAAGTAACTGGAGCTATAGATGCTTGCCACCACGCCCAGCTAGTTTTTTATTTGTGATTTATTATAGAGACGAGGTCTCACCAAGTTTCCCAGGCTGGTCTTGAACCCCTGAGCTCAGGGAATCCTCTTGCCTTGGCCTCCCAAAGTGCTGGCTGAGTCACTGCGCCCGGCCTATTTTCTAAGAAGCAGAGGGGAAGTTAGTGAAACTTTTTGTGTGTATAAACTTTATGCTCACTCCTGCTCAAATTCTATAAAGATTATATAGTTTCTCTAAATGGAATTAAGGGTTTAAGGAAAGGCCTCTGCTTCAGGTATCAGGAACCCTGGGCTTTGGCCACTAATTTGTTGTATGACTTTGGGCAAGCTGTTTACTGCCATGTAGACTGTTTCTTCATCTGTAAAATGAAGGCGTGGGGACAATGTTGAGCATTGAATGACTCCTAAATACTTTCCCAGCTCTCTTACATGTATAATCTCAATTTTAAGATTTATAAAATGTATGAATCCCAGACGTGATTGTAAGCCAGAACCTTATCTCTCTTGGCTGTGAGCATGGGAATAATCTTCTACACCTTTGAATCCTGAAATTGGCCGTCAGATGAACCTTTAAGTTGGACACCTGTAGGATAACCAATGCCTTCTTCAGAGTCCTTTGGGGTCTTCTGCATACCCCTGTAATGGCCTAACCATGGTCCTTTACTAAAGACAGAGGGTCCTCTGGAGAGAAGAGCCAGAGACAGACATTCCACACTGAGTCTACAGATCATTTCCGGTCAATCTGCCTCAGTTTCCTTAACCTATTCCTCCCTCCCTCCCTCTCTCCCTCCCTCCCTCCCTTCCTTCCT